GTGAGTGAGTGAGTGAGTGTGTGTGTGAGAGAGTGTGAGAGAGAGAGTGTGTGTGTGTGTCTGTGTTAGAGAGTGTGTGTGTGTGTGTGTGTGTGTGAGTGAGTGAGTGAGTGTGTGTGTGTTAGGCTCCGCCCCCTCTGCAGGAGTTTGTGGGCAGCGTTGCTTCAGTCTGATCAGATCGGAGTCACGCGGTGCTGCTCTCTGTCGCTCTGCGCTTTGTGTCTCCGCGTCTCTCCGTCGGTCTGTCCTCAGTGAATGAGCGGGATCACGCGTGTCTTCTGCGGGAATCCAGCAGCCCGAGCGGGTCTGTTTCAGCGCAGGTAAGACCAAGCGATCTGCTCTCTGGCGTGTTTCTGTCACGCGTGGATCGGATACATTAAAGCAGACTGGAGCTTTGGTCTGGATCCGCTTTCAGAACCAGATTCAAATACAAATCCAGACTGATTTCACATGGAGCGGATTCTGTCCGCATTGCTTCATTCATTGGTGTGAAGGTGGTTTGGACGCGACTCGCTCTTTCACGCGCTTTTATGATTCTCTGATGTTCCTGTCAGCGTTTCTGAAATCTGTTTCGACATAACGCGCATTTCTCTCGCTGATTATGACATGCTGGTTTTTCTAAACCGGTGCGAAATTGGTTTATGCATGTGATAATCAATTTCCCATCATAGTTTCTGGCCCAGAATATTTGCTCATTACAGGAGTAGAATCATAATAAAAGGCTGAGATATTCAAACAAGATCCAGAATCGCTTTGTTGTCATTGATTTCATTCGTTTTCTCATTATAGCACATTTTCACAACTATAGAAACTAATAGTTTGGTAAATTCTGGAACAGTTCTGTAAAATGTTTCTCAGCCTTTCAATTCGAATTGAAATGGTTCACATGGTTTCTTCAAAGAAATGAAATGTGATATGGAATTTGTGGCTGAACAAAACCAGAATGTATGTTGCATGTTGGTTTATGAACCATTATGGCTGGTGTGATTGCAGTTGAACACATTCAGGTCTGATTGCACAGTAAATGCATGCAGGTAAAGATGTGGGGTTTGTCTCGGAAGCTCCCAGCAGAAGCACCCTTCCCCCTGAGCAACATCTGAAGGCAAAAACATTCATTGTTCACAAGTGCTGAAGTGTTTTCAGCTGCTGCAGGAACAAAGAGCTTCTGCTTCTCCTGTTGTGTTGTGGGTTTTGACTTGTCAAACTTGTTGCCAGCAAGTCTAACGGCATGACTCGACCCACATTCCCACCGGCGCTTGACTCGTCCTGAGCAAACACAGAAGCGGCCAGAGACACTTCAACCTGCGGTCTATTATTCATCTGTCCTCACGAGCTCATAAACATCATGAAGCTGCTGAGAGGTTGAAGATTGAGAGCTGCTTCTGCAGTTTTCCTCATGAAGTTCCTATCAGACTGTCTGCATTTGTGCACACTCTTAAAAATAATAACATCTTGTTTCCCCAAAGAACCTTTTTGCACACTTAAGCACTGATGTGCATCGGAAAAGCTTTACTCTTAAACATTTCGGGTTCCCCAAAGAACCTTTCAGTGATCAGTTCTTAAAAGTAACTTTTTGTCTTTGAAGAACTTTTTTTCTCTTTAAAGAACCTTTTGTGGAATGAAAAGGTTCCATGGATGTCAAAGTTTCTTCATTGCACCACAGACACGCTTCTTTTTAAGAGTGCATATCAAAGATTATTTGCATTTAAAGACTGCAAAACATAAACTAAGGTGGTTCAGTCCAAATGAAGCAGTGTGAATATAGTTTAAGGGTGAATGTTCATGATATATTCACAACGACTAGTCAGCAAATAGAAAATAAAGCACCATTTGAGGTGATTTTAATGTACTATTTATTTGGCCATATAGAGTTTAAGAAATCATTAGACTCCAGTATCTTTAATTTTTCATAATTTTCCCCAAAATAACCTTTTTTTTTTCTAAGTGTGAAGAGCGTTTTAATATTTCAAAGAACTTCTGTCCACTATAAAGAACTTTTGTGTATTGAAAAAGTTTCATGGATGTTAAAGTAGCATGTCGAATTTGCATTTAAAGACTGTGAAGCATAAACTAAGATGGTTCAGTCCAAATGAAGGACCACTTATTTGGCCATGTCGTTTAAGAAGTCATTATACTTCAGTGTCTTTAATTCTTCAATGTCTTTCCCAAAAGAAAAAAAAAAATCTTAAAGTGAAGAACATTTTAATAATCAAGAGAACCTTTCTCTGCTCTAAAAATCAATGTGCATTGAAAAAGTTTCATATATCTTAAAAGTTCTTCATGCAATCATTAAAGCCTAAAAAAACTTTATTTTTTAAGTGCAAAATGGTTGTTTTAGAGTCTTTAAATGCACATCATTTAACATCTATGAAACTTTTCCAATGCACATTGTTTTTTTCTGTAGAGCAAAAAGGTTCTTTGGAGAACCAAAATGGTTCTAGTTTGTTTTGCAGTCTTTAAAACCCAAATAATCCTCGACGTGCCAGCAGACAGACTAAAACAGAGCCACTGATTGATTCATCAGCGCTTGATTGAAGGGCAGTGGATTGTTGACCTTGTCCCTCTCCAGCGCCACTTTCCCAGGCCGCCAAAATTAGAGGCTGTTCTGTTCTTTCCGTGTCAGGCTTCAGAAAGCGTTCTCACGTTCTCGAAGGCCATCGCCGCCGGAACGTTCTCTGATGGGAGGAATGTGAGGAATGTGAAGGGGAGACTCGCACCACGGTGAGCTTTCCCTCTTTCCACGCCACTTTCCCAGGCCGCCAAAATTAGAGGCTCTTCTGTTCTTTCCGTGTCAGGCTTCAGAAAGCGTTCTCACGTTCTCGAAGGCCATCGCCGCCGGAACGTTCTCTGATGGGAGGAATGTGAGGAATGTGAAGGGGAGACTCGCACCACGGTGAGCTTTCACACCACAACAGCGTCTTCTCGCAGCGCACCAGACACGAGCGATGGTGCGAAAACTCACAGATTTGTTTTCACTCTAAGACATTTCAGATATCTGAGCCACAGTAAGAGTGAGTGTGCAAAACCAATCTTTATGGCCACATTCTCCATTTTTGCCAAAGTAAAATGAATCATTACCTGAGGCTGACACTTCAAACACAAACCAAACTGGACTGAAATCAGCTGCTGTGGTTCATGTATGCAGTCTTATTTGAAAAAGGTCGCGTTATTTCCTGTTTTAACCATCCGTGCCTTTAAATATAACAGCAACTGCTTCTGCGAATAGATTCCTGTATCAAACTGAGTCATTGTGCAAAGACACATTTGCAAATGTGGTTTAGAAACTCGCTCTCAGACTCCAGCACCTGCTGCTCCTCCTTTTTTAGAAAGCAGTGAGCTTATTTCTTAATTAAGAGTCTAAAAATTAATCACATGTGCGCAGCAAAGGTAGTTAATGATCTGAAAGATTTCTCAATCAAGAGCAGACGCCATCTGGTGCTGTCCTTTGAAAACCACTAAGCAAATGTGTTGTGGTCATTAAATATTTGCATGTTAATTTGTTGCATTTAAACACTTTAAACAAGTTGCATGAACCATTCCTAGATCTTTCCAGCTACTGGTTAATGGTTTCAGGGAATGACTTGGAAAGATTCAGATAAAGTCCATGCAACTCATTTAAAGTTGAAAATATGCAGCAAATTAAAATGCATGTATTTAATAACCATAACACATTTGTTTAATGATGCAATCCAAATGACGGTAAATGTGCCTTATGATTGATTATATAAATCATATTCTCCATGATCCTAGCTATATACATTTTAAATGATTTAATTAGCTTTTATTTGGCCTTGTAGTTACTAAGATTCGATTCTTTCTTGTCTCTCATCTGGCAATGTTTTACAGCATCTCTAATTTAACCTCAGAGCTGGAGTGTTTAGCATTAGAGTTGGTAAGATCAGTTCATTTCTGTGAGTTCAAATTGATTTCAACTGGATTCATTCTTGGATTTAACCATTTTAATCTATTTGGCAACAATGGCTGTTTGGTTAAAAATCCTCTGCTTATATTCACCCTCTAAACCACTTCAGGAGTAAATGCATAAATATACAAATGTATAACCGGAACAGCACTCCACTTATATGTGCGCTGAGGTTGTTGGTCCTCGTGTTTGAACAGAATGAGTTTGTTTATGTCCTGATTCCGGCTGTGGTTGAGTTTCATGTTGTGGGCAAGTAAGTCTGTTCAAAGGAAAGCCCGAGAACTGGAGGAGCGGATTTGCGCCTTTTGTTTTTCACTAGTAAGCGTGAAGAACTTTCATCTGATTATTTAGGCCAAAGTCTCTTACACAAATGCATTTCCCTGTCAGAAACACTTGAAATGTACAAAGGGTTTTGGAACGCTTTAAAGAAAAACTTTTTTAGTTTTTTAGTGGCAGCATGGCGATAATTGTAGAGCCCATGTGAAATCAGTTTTACATTTTTATTTTTCTGGACTGTATTTTATCAACCAAAAATGATGCCTATTCAGTTGATTTCATAAAACTTTGACCATTTAATGATTAATTACAATTTTAACCACAAAACCAGTCTTAAGTGTCAATTTTCTGAAATTGAGATTTATACATCATCTGAAAGATGAATAAATAAGCTTTCCATTGATGTATGGTTTGTTAGGATAGGACAATATTTGAAAATCTGGAATCTGAGGGTGCAAAAAAATCTAAATATTGAGAAAATCATCTTTAAAGTTGTCCAAATTAAGTTCTTAGCAATGCATATTACTAATCAAAAATTAAGTTTTGATATATTTAAAGTAGGAAATTTACAAAATATCTTCATAGAACATGATCTTTACTTAATATCCTAATGATTTTTGGCATAAAAGAAAAATTTTGACCCATACAATTTTGGCTATTGCTACAAATATACCCCAGCGACTTAAGACTGCTTTTGTGCTCCAGGGTCACGTATTAGGGTGCTATGAAAGTATTTAATTTGTTCCCAAATGCTGTTTTCATTTTTATGGATTCTGTGTTTTATGACTGAATAAAAAGCTATCGTCGAAAACTGCGGTAATCAAGTTTATTCATAAGACTATAACAGTATAATCAATCTTTTTAAATGTAATCACATCAAAATACACCAGTTACTTTACAATGTTACACAAAGCGTTGCATAAAATTGTCATTTTTTAAATCAAAAATCTCTTTATTGAAAATAATGTTTTAATTAATTAAACAATAATTAGTAAGGTTGCAAAGGGGCGGAAAATTTCCGTTAACCTTCCAAAAAGTTTCCAAAAAAATCCTGGAAAGCTTTCAAAATTTCTGGAAAGTTTTGGAAATGTTCCACCCCTTTGCAACCCTAATAATTAGTAGTAGTAGTTTGAGAAGTTCATTTTACCACTAATATTTCTGTCAGTATTTCTCCCAGTTAAACCAAACTAATATTTTGACCGTTTGCAGTGAAGACCTTTGAGTTTCTGTGTGTTTGATGATTGTTTTAATAGCCATTAACATAAGACTAATTCTCCAATGCACATGCTTTTTCATATCAAACATACTGTATAAACCAGCTGACGATCATCTACACTTTATCTTGTGTTTTTCAGGTGTACAGGCTGCTGATCTCCTGTGCCGCACGCTATGACCAAACCCCATCATCCGTGCTCGGTTGGTTCCACCCGTCTGTAGAGTCCGATCAGACGGGAGCTCGAGGTCTGCGTTAAAATGTCTGCGTGTGGAGAGTTTGCAGAGCACGTGTGGAAACCAGGCTCCTGTAAGAACTGCTTCCATCCGCGCAGCGCTCACGGACAGACCGGCACGGCGGGAGGCGCTGGTGTCCAAACGAGTCTGATCGGAGAAGACGAGGATGGGGTGACGTCTCCCTCTCTGTATAGCAAACCCACCATCGCTGTCAGACCCACCATGATGAACATGGACGTCACAATGGAGGTCAAGACAGACATCAACATGAATACAGAACAGGTAACTGCATGAATGCACTGAATTAACTGAGTAGATGAACTCTTAAAGAACACCCAAAATTGAAAATGTGCTGAAGATGTGCTCACTCACAGGTCATCCAAGATTAGGATGAGTTTGTTTCTTAGTCAGGTTTGTAGAAATGCAGCATTGCATCAGTGTCTCAGCAATGGATGCTCTGCAGTGAATGGAGGACTTCTCCAGATGTTAACTGATGGACTGGAGTGCTGTGGATTACTTGTGGATTATTGTGATGTTTTTATCAGCTGTTTGGACTCTCATTCTGACGGCACCCATTCACTGCAGAGCATCCATTGCTGAGACACTGATGCAGTGCTACATTTCTACAAATCTGATGAAGAAACAAATTCATCCTAATCTTGGATGGCCTGAGAGTGAGCACATTTTAAGCAGATTTTAATTTTTTGGGTGAACTGTTCCTTTAAACTCTTGTTATGGTGAAAGTCAATGATATCTCCAAGGTGGGTTCAGGTGGGTGGGGTTTGGTCAACATTCTCCACTACATGGGTGTAGACTGGAATGTCTTTGTAAACGCAAGATAACAGACTGCCATTCAGCTGTATGCACACTGTACAGGAAGGCAGTGATATAGACACATTCAGGCTGTTTAAACAAAGATAATTAGATTACCGCCAAGGGCATTGAATCATTTCTGTGGCTGACTACAAAGCAAACACACACGGACACAGTTAGTCACATAAAGTGTCTGTGGAGTCAAATAAGATGATTGATTGGTTATTTGTACACGTGAATAATTGTCAATTCATTCAACGCATTGCCTAGACATGCCTGTGAAATTTTACCTGTTTATTCAGTGTGCTTGTTTGTTTATGTTTTGATGTCATGATCTCAAGGTGGGTTTCTTACATTGATGAGTTATAGAGTGTTTTTATTATAAGCCTTTTTAATATAAACACAGTGATCAAGTGTTTGAATTTTTCCCAAACTTATTTATTACTTCTCTATCTCAGAACAACCAGATGACCTCTGTAGGACTGAAGAAAGCTCTGGATTTGGCTCCTCTGTACATCGATAGCAATGGATGTAATAAATCTCTTAGAGAAACCGTAATACAAAACGGCATCTCTGGAAAGAAGTTCTCCCCAAACATTTGTTCTCCCACTGGATTATCCAAGGACTGCATGATTATCAGCAATATAATTATGAGTCAGGAAGAAGGCTGTGTTCCCCACAGTCTGAAAGAGAATGGGAACAGTGGCTCCTATAGACAGATGACCAAAGCGGTCAAGAGCACTTACGCCAATGGAGATCTATGTCTTCATAACGGGACTGGAAACAGTGATGGAGTTACAAGTCCTCTAAGGGCATCTGTAGAGGAAAGGCAAGCCAGAACCGCACCAGGGAATGTGGTTAATGGATCGTCCAATGAGACGCCAGGTACTTCACCATCTCCAATGACTCCAGACTCCTTCCACAAAAGCCTGTCAGACTCGTGCTCCAATCGGAGCAGCGTGGATTCGTTACCAGGACTCCGGAGCCCTCAGAAGTCTCCAGGTTCCACTAGCATTCCACTAAACGGGCTTGAGGAAAGTGAGCCGATCTATGCCGAGAGCACCAAGAGGAAAAGACGACTCAATGCTCAGTGCGATGGGAAGGCTCCGCAGTCCTCCGAGTCTGAAACAGAGGTCAACGTAAGCGACAATCAAAGAGCGACTATTACAGTCATGGCTGCCCATACTGAGGAAAACAACCGGACGTTCTACTTGAGCAGCCCGGATTCTGCCGTAAGCACCCAATGGACCCACTTCAGCCCAACCACGCCCAAAGACCCATCAAGCCCAGCGTTCACTTGGCCAAATGCTCCTGATGCCTTTGAAACAACCCAACCCAAGCCTCAATCGAGTCCCCCGGTTCCCCCTAAGATCAGCACTCGTCCACCAAGACTTGGTACCTCCAGTCTCTCCCTAGTACCGTTACCCGAGCTCAGCTTTCACGTGGTTCTTCCTCCAAATCAAGTGACCTCACAAGTGCACGCCAGTGCTCCAACTCACGCCGTCCCGGAGTGGAGACACAAGTCCCACAGCGCCAGGAGTCTGGAGGGCTGTATTGATGAGGTGGAAGAGGAGGTCGAGTCTGAGGGGACGGCCAAGAGATCGGGCTCTTCTAGTGGGCCGGGCGACTCCATCAATGGTCCTGCTGTTCCTTGCATTGAGTCCAGAGAATGGACGAGCGAGAGCAGTGCGATGCCAGGCACCGCCAACAAAAGCACCAGTCATTTGCATGCGGAGGACAGCAGAGCCAATGAGAGCTTGCTCTCGAGCCCGTCTCCTCTCATTCACTCCAGTGAACCCAACACCAGTTGGGATCCTGCGCCACCTCCGCCACCTCCCAAAAAAAACCACCGGTGAGAGCTACCTACTTATTTTATGCTGTTTGCCATGTTTTTTTTCTAACCCAGATATTAATCAATAGATCGTATTGATACTTGTCCTTTGATATAGTCTTAGTGTTTATGGTGCCTTCACATGCTGTGGTAAATACAAGTTTCCTAGTCATTTTTGGACATGGGTTAGGTAAATTGGACATCAGGGTTAGGGTTGGGTCGGATTTACAACTGGGAAACTTGGAGATAATTTTGAGACCCCAGTTTCCGAGAAATTTTAAACGTAGTGATTGAAGTTTAGCATTTATTGGACTGAAACTTCAGAATCGTGGGTTGAACGTCTAGTTGGTTGTCAACTAATGGGATGCCACATTTTTTTCAAAGTCTATTGGATATTGAATAAATATCGTCAATACATTTAGGATTTAATATGGTTTCCCCAAGAAACAGGCAAGAATGAACCAGTTGTCCTCCATTATTTCTATTGTTCCCAACAACAAAGCACTTGAACATGATAAACAAGTAATTATAACTTCAGAAGTGGGAATGTGGAGATTTTTGATAGCATGTGAAGGCAAAAAAGTACAAACAACCAGTTACGTTTGTTGCCTGGTGTTCCTGAACAGGTTATTTTAAAGGGGTCATATGATGTTGATAAAAAGAACATTGTTTTGTGTATTTGGTGTAATGAAATGTGTTTATGCGGTTTAAGGTTAAAAAAACACATTATTTTCCACATACTGTACAATATTGTTTCTCCTCTATGCCCATTTAATTAAATTCCTTTGAATTTATAACTCACGATTGATCAAAAAGAGTCCAAAAATATAAAACCTACATATTTATTTCTTACAAAAGAGCATACATATTACTCTGAAAATCAAAAAAAAAAAAAAACACTATGTACATTCATTTTAATTGCATAAACTTTCATTCTCAGATAAAAAAAAAAAAGTGAATTTTTTTATGCTGCAATGGTTCGTCAACAGACTTCTGTCCCAAAAATTCAGTCCAAAAGTGTGTGAGATATGGGGAAAAGGAGAAATATATTTTATAAAAGTTTTTGACACTAATACAACTTCATAGATAATTTTACAAAAAAAATTTATTTTGACACTAATGGAACTCCATACATGACTTTTTGTAAAAATGGTTATATCTCGTACAAAATAAGTGTAAAAAATCAGGGAAAAAATCACGTATTTTGAGGGTCTTAAAGCATTTGCAAAGTTTCATACTCTTACTAAAACTATGCATTTTTTAGACATTTTTATGCATCTCTTCCGGACTCAAATGAGTTATGAAGGTTAGGATGGAACTGGTTTTGTTTTAAACGTGTTAACGTATTAAACGTGTTAACCGCTTCACCTTTAGAGAAGCATACACTAGATCAGCTCTCTGCCCTTCAGAGCTGTTTCCATTAGCATGAGCCTTTATTTGTTCTCATGTTTGACTGACTCACAGGAGCATTTCAGGCCAAGAGCAGCGTCACCTCGTCAGAATAAAGTGTTCAGCTCAGATTCGTCTATGGTTCCCATCTGTTGCCGAGTCAACAAACATCCCGTATCTGAGCGGAGCATTTCAGGCCAAGAGCAGCGTCACCTCGTCAGAATAAAGTGTTCAGCTCAGATTCGTCTGTGGTTCCCATCTGTTGCCGAGTCAACAAACATCCCGTATCTGAGCATCAGCCGTATTCAGAGCCGACGCGACACACCATGTGTTTGATATCTGCTGTTTATACCATCAACAGCCGAGGTGTGAATTCAAGCGGTGTGTTTCCAAACAAGAGCTTTTTTCAGCAGATCGCTGCGGTTTGTGGCTGTTGAGACGTGCTGTTGCTATCAGAACCAAACCAAGATAGAAACCAAGAACCATCATCAGATGCAGGAGACTGCACTGAAAAGAAAGTAAATTTCACAGTTAAACATGAAATTTTGGAAGTAAAATGATTGAAATTGTATTTTTCTTGTAAAACATATTCCAATAATCTTTGAAAAATAATTTTTTAAATGTGCAAAACAACATATTTTCAAAATGCAGTCAGTGGGTTAAAATGTATTAATGCAGGGTTTCGCAAAACTGGTTTTTATGAGTTGATGAAATCATGAAAGTGTGAACTGAAATTTAATAAATAAAACCGTAATACTGGAAAATATTTAAATAATTTATTTGTTTTAATAAAAAAAAATGTATCAAGTATTAAATATTTTTAAATATTATATTAAATATTATAAAGATTTTTATAGTATTTAATGTAATTAAAAATATTCAATATTTTATATTTTTATAAATGTATAATATTTGTAATATAGTATTAAAATATTTCACGTTAAATTATTGTATTTTTGTAATATTCAATATAGTATTAAATATAATAAATATTTTTGTGTATTTAATATATTTTGGTATTGTATTATTGTATTATAATATTTAATACATTAAATATTTATAATGTTTTAATATTTAATGTTATGCT